CAAAGCTGGGTAACAGCATTTGAAAGAAAAGCTAGAGAACATAAATTAGGTCCCACCGTAATCTGGAAAGCTAGACACTATCATAGCTTAGTACCAGCATTTGGAAATCCAAAGACTATAGGGGGATGCAGTTTGAGATAGAAATCAAGTCTGAAAGCTAGCTCAGTAAGGAATCAGTGGGTGTCAAAGAGAAAAGATTGTGTGTCAACATTCATTCAGTTACCATTGATAGAAAGGAAATGTGAGGATTGATACATGAGTGCATAACTAATTTATGTGCACAAACATTCATTGTCCTATTCAGCATTCTAAACTCAGAACTTTCATGTTATCTTTAAAACAAATGTAAGCATATATCGCTAGCCGCGTGATTCAACCGCCAAAGTGACAACATTTTCGATAATCACTTTTTGATCCCTTTGTGTAGTACAGCCTTTGATACACCTTATGTTAAAATCCAGAGTTTGAAAGATTACTGCAAAGTGTTTCAATCCTTTAGTAGATCAACCGCCTATATCACACCAGTCCCCAATTTCCATGTGATTCAACTGCCCAAGTGCCAGTTTTGCAGCCCGGTGGCGAATGTGCGGTTGAATTACGCAGATTCAGTGGTTTGTTGAGGCGTTCACCTGTCGAGTAGGCGGCATGACACACACGATTGTGGCCTTTGTCAAAGCAGACTAGGGGGTAAATCTAAATAAAGAGCTGCCTTTGCTGACCAGAACTCAGATCGAACCCTATCGATAGCCAGAAGATTTTGTCACGGAGGTTTGCGTAATCTATCACTGGGTATGGTAGTGTAGTTGAGAAAGGGCAAGTTTAAGATGGCATCAAAGAAAATTTATGTTAATACTGACTCAACCAAGTTTGGTAAATTGTGGCAAAAGCTACTGACGAATGAATTTTTAAAAAAGTTTATGATTGACAGCTCAGGGGCGCTTATTTCACATTCAGTACATCTATTGGAAAATATTTTTATCGCGACTTTTCGAGTTTTTTAATTTTAAGTGCGCGTCCCTTACTGTGTCTGTCATGTATCATTCTTGAATCATTGATTAGTTAATCAATGAAGGGTAGATGATACTTGATTTGTAACTAAAAAAAAAAGCAACTCATAAACACACTCGCCACAAAAATTATCTCTTGAACATACCTTCAACTTCAACTCTCTAGCTCTACACTTCAATTTGAAACAAATCTCATACATTCTACCTACATTTGTTTGTATACAACTGCCCTCACACAGTGGTTATTTGTGACTGCAAAGACAGTATACATGACTTGGAGATGGGAGCTCCACGATTGTAAAATTACCAGTGAGCAGAAGACAACAAGCAATTTTGTGATAAGTAATTCTTCGACAAACTAGTCCAAGTTGCTTTCCCATTACTGTAGACAGAAATACATGCAAAATATAACTTGACTAACACTTTCAAAGCCTTAGAGGCCTTTATAAAGAGTACCAAAGAAAACGGAAACAGTCACACATTGTCTCAGACGACTTTAGAGAGATATTCAAAAAGAGCAACCTGTTGTATGTATGTTGGAAGGATCACTGTGATGTATGCAAGGTAGGAGAAAGAATAGTTTTAGTTTTAGTAGAAGTTTTACGGCGCTTGCAACACAATAGGGTCATAAGTGCCGAAGATTAGAGGTGTTACAAGAGAGCAACAAACACAAAATAGAAGGAGGAGAGATAAGGACGATAGATGTTTGATAGGAAAGAAGGAGCAAACCACACCAGAGCACCCACCAACTACCCACGGAGAAAGAATCTAACAAGAAGCTTGCACAAAACCCAGTGGAGGTGACCAGATGTCGAGTGTGTATGCTCTAGGAAGCGGATTTGTTAGTATAAAATAGAACGCATCTGCTGCACTATATCATAACAGGACCAAATTAGCTGTCTATATTTTTACAAATTTGATAACCAAAGATGTGAAGTGTCCCATTTGGCATGAAGGAGAAGGACCATTGATTGCCAATGAATTCTCTTCTTGTGTCAGTAACTTCCTGGATGAGCCAGGACTGACAATAAATATGCCACGTTCATTATACAGTGATGGCTGTACTTATCAGACCTAAACGCTATCTTGTCAAATGCAATCAGTGACATTTGTACCAGATAGAACAAAACTGTTGAAATACATTGAAAAGAGGAACAAATGCAAATGGAAGTGGACAGCACACACAGTATATTCGAAAGGTCCCTGAAAAAATTGTATGGTCTATGTGCTCATGGTTAATCCAGAACATTTTTAAGAAAAGAAAGACAATATCTCCCCCCCCCCCCCCCCCATGTTTGATTTCTGGACCATTCAGACCTGGCTGAAACAAAAAGACCCTGTTGTCACAAACGTTCGTTGCCTTTGATACACACTGAAAAAAAAACATCCAGTGCAAATTAAACGTTAAAATGATTGGGTTTTTTTTTACCAACTCCATGAGGCCAAAAACAGTCGTGCCCCAAAAGACCAAACCAAATAACTGAAATAGTTACTCTTAACTTTCATAATTACTCTTAAAACTATTATGATTTGCTTTTGTCAATTACTCAAACACCCAAGCGACCATTGGCGCTCGCCGAGTGGCGTTGATTAACGTGATTCAAACGCCTAAACGCCCTCATACTGTCACTAAGGTGGTTGAATCACGCAGATTTTGGTAGGTCTAAACCGCCTATGTCCAGTAACTTATGTAAGAAAGATTTTTTTTGTAAAGCTAGTTACAGACCATCGTCCTACATCATATATCATATATCTGAATTTCAGATTCATAGGTACGAGCATAAAGAAATAAGAGTTTTTTGCTTCTCCTGAAATATTTGTTTCTCGGAACTTAGGCGGTTGAATCACGCGGTTAGCGAATATATATATGAGCCATTGCCAAAACGTGGAGAAAAACACACACACATCTCACATTAGTGTGCATAAAATGTGATGCATTAGTATTTATTCCTCCAAAACTTATACACATGTCAAATATAGGATGTAGAACCTGCATTAGCAGTTTCAGACCCCATGTCAGCTTTACAATCTTGAGTTTGTAAATTTTGTGCCAAAAATTAATGTTCGTTTTTTAGTGATTCCTGGAGAGTCATTTTGAGCACACCAATGCAAACTTCCAAGAATGTCCAAAATTTAGTATTTTTGGGTGGGTTTTTTTTACGTGTGCTTTGATCCTATGCTATTTGTCATTGAGAAAGGTTAACTTGCCCAAGAAATCGGTTTATTTGTTTGCAAAAAGACGAACAATTCGGATTACTTGTGCGTCTGTCGTGTCGTCACGGACTAGGTCTTTCAGAAAACACCATTATTTTTCAGTAGAATCACCGTAGCTGGTTAAATCTATTTGCCTATCGTCGTTTATTCAATACTTCAAAAGCCGCGATGCGCGAAAGGAACATCGGGTCCCTAGATCTACGATTTCAGTCGGCTGTTTAACATTCGCCGTGATTGTCGTCACCTTGCGATGTGCCGGAAGTCCGAATTTCGCCCACTTTTGTTTTGAACGGATCATCAACAGTGCCCGGATATAATTGTTTTCTTGAGTAACTTCCCCTTACCCGCTTCCCCAGAACAACGGAAGCAACGGGGGAAACAGAAAAACGAAAGTAGTCATTGCCTTCAGCGTCCGGTGACGCACAAGAATTTTGCGTTGAATGTGACGTACTGGGCTGTTTTGCGTGTTTTTAGGCTACTCTGTTGAATATTTTAGTGAAATTGCGGTGTTTACACTGGATTCCTGGAACAAGAGTGTGATGTGTGAACAATTTTCGAGAGATGGATCATTTCTGTGGTTATAGATTTAGCTTTTGTGCTCAGTGATGACGTTTGGGGTGTCGTCATGCAGCCGTACAAGACTGACTGACGTACTAGAAATTACATTGTCCTAAGAGCAAACATTTTTTAAGTAATGTGTGCTCTCTTTACTTAAACAAATAAACAAACATGACCTTGTTTATCTGTCTAATTCAAAAATACACATTTGTTCTTTGTTGGTATGATATACCTTTTTCCAATACATTGTGTCATTATTGTTATGTACAAGTAATATTTGTCATCATTGCTAATATCAAGAAGTTTTCAACATATATTTCATACACGCAAGATTCATTTAGAAGCAAAATACGCCTTTATTGATCTGTGTATCTCTTAGTGCAAATTTGTTCTTTGTAGGCATGATTTTACCTTTTCCCAGTATGTTTTGTCATCACTGTTATGTACGAGTACTGTTTGTCATAATTAGCAACATAATTGTGATCGTCCACTGTCTTTGATATGACCTGATATGTTTCAAAACAAAAGAAACCTCTCCTGTGTTTTTTTTATTCTTAAAGTGCGCATTTCTCTCTGGAGGCAAGACTTTTGTCTTTTCCTGTACATTGTGTCATCATTGTTATGTACAAGTCATGTTTGTCATCACTGTTATGTACAGGTCAGCTCAATTGATTTTGTGCTTTTGCCTCATATTAGTTTTTCTGGTACTGAGGCTTTGATAACTGTATTTGTACAGCCTTTCACTATTGTGATGTGTTGTTAATGATAATGTCCAATGTGTATCCTTTCTTGTACATAACAATGATGACATGTTCTGTGCACTGCGTCATTGTTACAAAGCTTGTCATTCATATTACCATTATGAATGAATTTCATAGTGTACAAGTCTTTGTTTACTAAACAAATGGAATTTAAAGTCCATAATTAGCCTTGCTGCTTATATTATCTGTTTTTGTCATCACTGTTACATACAAGAAATACAGTAGTTGCCAAACCAATACACCCATATCTCCAAAACCCTACATCTCCTTGCTCTGATACTCTAGGAATATGAGCACTAAATGTCAGTCTGTGACTGACAGAAAAGAGAGTCAAATTGGTAAGAAAATTTTTTTTGCACCACTGAGTCTCAAGAGTCTCACGTTTTGGCAATTGCTCATATATATTTACACACACATATGAACTATTTTTTTAAATTTTAAAGCACCACAGAAAAGTGACCTTTCAGTATGGTGTCAACGTTCTTGAGTTTCTCCATCTTTTCCAGTGTCTTTTTGTAGTCCTTCATGCCCTCTGCATACACAGCATTCTCCCTCTGCAGTAAGGCAAAGTCTCTCTGCAAAACTTCCACCACATTGCGCTCAGAGTTATGCTTTTTCTTCAGGTCAGCCCTCTCTTGCTCACATTCAAACAATTGTGCAGCCAAGATATCCCGTTCTTTTTCAGCCTCACCTAGTTGAGCCTGAAATAAACCAAAAAATGAGATGAAGATATCACAAACTCAAACGTCTCAGCTTGTCCACCAGTCTTCATTTAAAAAAATTCAGTAATACAACACATCTAAAATGCTCACATACTGAAAATGTTAAAAACATAAATCAGCCCATCCATTTTTTATTCTTCACAAGAGGTAAATGCAGTCAAAGAAAAACAAAAATTTGCATAACTTTGAAATATCTTTAGCTGGATTCATGAAGTTCAACGACAATAATGAATTTGCATGGTAGGTGTTTGAGCATTCCTTTACTCTGAATGAACAAGAACTATTAGAAAACATTTACAATAGGATTACTGTACTACAAGTGTGATGTTCAAACACTTACACAAACACAGTATTCAAGGCAGAGAAACAGTCAATCAGAGCAACTGAGGCCACTGAATTCTATTGGAAAATGTGACTGTTCTAAGAATGGGAATGGCCAATAGAATAAAAAATAGAACAGAATGGCAAATTTAGCCATTTTTACCTCTTACAAATTGTAAGCCTATTCCCTGCTTTGTAGCAGCAGGTTTAGCTTGATGGTATGTGGATACAACAGCACAGTACAGGTGATATATTTTTTATTTATGACAAATGAGGGAAATAAGAAAATAAGAATAAAGCAGCATCTAGTTAGTAGACAGACTGACTTCCAAGAATTACACAGGATAAAAAAAAAAGAAATTACAAAAACAGAGAGAGGAGTAAAGAATGGGCAAGGGGATCATAGTGCATGATCTTCGCAAATGCTACCAAAAAAAACATCCCCAAAAAAACGAGTTCAAACAGAGTTACCCGACAATGGCAATTCAAAGCAAGACAGTCAGCTTTACACACAAATTTTCGTTGTCTTGTGTATTACTTCTTTGAATTAAATGTGCAAGTCTGACAGCAAAATTCTATCATTGCTATTCAGCTCTATAAATAAAAACAGAGCTTACAATAATCTAAGACGGCAGATCAAAAAGTCATGAAAGTCATGAAATATCTCAAAAACTTGTACTGCTATGGACCTAGAATTTTCAGTCCCTTGAAATATTCTCCTTCCCTCGGTATGCAGGATTCTGGCCTCCACAGCCTCTTCACGAAGGCACAAAGGTAGTCAGCTCCCCTTTGCTTGGCAGCTTTTGCATGGTCCTGAATGTATTTGACTAATTTATATTTCAGAATAGGAAATAAACAGAAGCATCAAAGAGCAAAGTCAGGACTGAACGCTGGAGAAAAAAACTTGGATCCCTTGCTGTTGCATGACATTAAAGTTGTGGCCCCTGTTTTACATTGTGCAAGTGGTTCCGATATTTGGTCTCTCTTCATTAACTGGGACAGTACCTTTTGCACATGAAGAACTCATAATAGTATTATGTGGCGTGATATCAACCACATAGAGACCACTGTAATAAAAAAACAGATAAAAATCCTCTTTCTGCTTTGAAACCCTGGACTCAAAACAGCAGTTCTCTCTTCTTTCCCATCTATCCACATGCGATTCATCTGTTTAAATGAAGTTCCAAAGAAGGGAACCCATGTTTCATCTCCAGTGACAATGAATATCTGTCAGTCAATTGGGCCCATCATAATTGCCTTTCTCACCCTGGATCAGGATATAGGCCACGAACAAACACTCTCCACCTTTCCCTATCCTGGGCGAGTCGCTTGATGTCATTCCACGTCTTCCCACTTTTCTGTACATCCCTTCATTGTTCCTGCTGATGCAGAAGCTCCTCTGTCTCCCAAGATGGAAAAATTATAAGGCATGTTTGTTCGTGTTTCTATAACTGTCCTTTTTTACTGGGTCGGGTAGTTGGGCCTACACAAACTCACTTTTCGGGTGGCCAGATTATGCACCATTAGTCGCCTCTTACGACACGCAGTATCACGGTAGGTGTATTCTTTACTCAGGGGTGCAACTGGGCCCATGGGGTTCAAATATGTTGAGAAATTCTGTGGCATCTGATCTCTCTTCTTTTTTGTTCCTCAGTTGATAAATTGATGATGGTGTACCCAACAGGCACATACTTTTTCAAATGAAGTTCACATATAATACTTTGCAAGGGCTAACCCAAACAAAAGTCCAGACACGTCAATAAGATTTTGCACACAGGTATGGGGATCTTGAGAAATATCGTCAAGCCGTTACCTTTTTGGCGTAAGTCATTTTTGCCAGTTTTGAGATAATCAATAAAAACTGTCTCAGTTGCAAGAAAACACACTTTGGCAAACAAAACTTTCCTCAATGAGTGAGGGTTCAGTGATGGTGAAGTTTATATAATTTTTTTTAATGAAAATGTGAAATTATGGGATATATAGGACTTAGGCCATTTCGAGACCACGCTCTTAGACTTAAGCCAAAATGCGAAATGACTTAGGCCAAAACGGCCCCCGAGTTTTTACCGTCAATGGTGACTTAGGCCAAAACAGCCCCCCCGAGTTTTTACCGTCAATGGTGACTTAGGCTAAAATGGCCCCCCGAGTTTTTACCGTCAATGGTGACTTAGGCCAAAATGTGGAACAATTTAGATCTACATTTATGTATATTATTATTGTTATGTTGAGTTATCCATGCCATATTTCTTCAGAAGAAGCTATGAGCGGATCAAAAGCTTGTAAAAATTTGTAAAGTCCGTGCCGGCTTTAAACACACCGGCATAAAACTAAAACATGTTTCGGACTCTAGCACGCTTAACAGCTCATACCGAATTTTGGGATAGTATTACACGCCTTTAAGCACAGTAACTTCAGCTTCAGGCACGCTTCATTTACAAGACAGTCAATACTTTCATGATGATCCATCGAAGTTCAAACACAGTCTACACCACAGCAGTGAATGTGTTAAGAGAAACACAAAGAACGCAAGTGATGGAGATTCACACACACAAATGACGCGTGCGGAGAGGAAGGCAGAGATGCACACAGCCACGCGCGTGGACATAGGATTTAGACGTAGCATAGGGCAAAGCTTCACAGACTTTTTTAAAAAATACAAAGAGAGTCGGGGAGACGAGAACTCAGAAAAGGAGGCTGGCTGCGATTTCACCTATTGCCCCTCGCTATCCGATAATCCTGATTATGTATCACGCGCCAGGTGGGATGAAGGCAGTGGTATGAATGTGGCACAGTAGGCAGTGGTACGCACAGGCAGTGTGTAGGCCTAGTGTGCTGTATCGTGACTGGCCGTCTAAGTCTAAATCAAGTTTTCATTTCCCATTCGACCACAAAACAAACCAAACAAACAAAAACTACCATGGCGGGTAAAAATAACAGCGCACACTTTTGCGCAACCACTACTTACAAACAAAGAGAAATAGCACAGGAAATTTTCTACATGAAAATCTCTGGATTATAATGATATCTACTTCGCACTCAAGCACGCTTCGGCATTAAGCACGCTTCTAAATGCTTTCTCCCGATGACCGTGCTTACAGCCGGCAAGGACTGTATAACATTGGTAGTCAAAGTTCAGGAATGATCAACACCTGGACACATCAATTTAGAGTCTACACGTATTAATGAAGTATAGAGATACGTCAGTGCAGAAATAACAATACGATTTACTAACAGCCAACAGCACGAGTTCAGTTGCTAAATAAAGGACATGGACACGATTACGGTCATTTAGTGCAAATAAACAGCAAGATGACAGACAGATAAAACAATGAAAGAACAGAAGTAGAGCCTACCGCGCAGCAGCACCCTCCAACAACCTGCAAAACAGCAAGGCGACAAACAGACAGATATAAAGCAGTGTTAGGTCAGAAGTAGAACCTACTATTAGCACCCACCAACCAAACAGCAAGATGACAGACAGATAAAACATAATATTAGGAAAGAAAAACCTACCAGTAGCTGTAGTACTCAGCAACCTCCCCCACACAAGTACATTGTGTACATCTAGATCTACATGTTAACTTACGTATTTCCCTACTAGATATATTAAGAATGGAAAAAACAACAACACAAAATGCAAAAGTAAGCTAAAAATGGACTCCAAAAATATCTTTTATTATACATGAAGAATTAAAGCCGAGAGTACAATAATTTGCACAAAGTGTCAGGTACAAAGAAGCAAAGAATCAACATACATCATAAAATGCATTATCTCACAAGGTGAACAGGGCCTCAAGAAATGTTTTGTGACAGCTGCCAATGATCACTGATGTGACCAACAATAAATAGGATAAAAGTACCGGTAATAGACAAAGAGATAAAATTACTTTTCCTGACAGGGTAAATTGTTTTAAGATGTCAAACATTTCACATTACATTCATGACATAACAAATACAATAATATCTTTTTAAAGACAGCCATTCATACACATGACAATCATTCATAGGTATTATCATGTCGATGTGCTTTCTTTATTAACTCAACTCAACGACAATTCAAACAAACTGAAATACGCTCAAACCTGCCCTGACGGCCACCTCTATAAGACGGTCACCTGTACAAACGGCCACTTTCCATTTTCCCCCTTGCGTTTTTTCTATATCATTTAACTGTGTAAAACAGGCACCTGTCCAACGCGACCGTGGCCACCATATTTTAACACACAACCCCTATCACACTAAGCAATAACCAGGGTCCCCACCAAATCCTGGAATTTTTTTTCAAGACCCCCAAATTTTTTTCAAGACCCCAATTCAAGGGAAAAATAAGGCCGCTGCGCGTCAAGAATGTTCCTCCAAAAAGCCCATCTACCAATGATAAAAAGTCAAAATGTCTTTAAATGAATGCAAATGTACATTTTGTAGTATAGTTTTCAAACAATAGATGATTATAATGCTGGGTGACCGCCAACCCAGCTTCTCAATTTTCTAAGGGAGGGGCCTCATCCATTTTCCAGGGGCATGTTACATAACAATGACAGCACGAGCTCAATTTATATCTAATGTATGCGTATGTTTGTGAATACACACACACATACACACACACACATGTAGGTACACTATAGGTACCAGAAACTAAATTTTCAAAGTAGCTGTAT